TAGTAGTAGATTGATTGAATTACTGTCAAAAATGGTATATTATTTGTCATGTAGGTAAGTGACACTAAAGTGTTATGTTGTGGCCTTCGCGTATAATCTTTCTCGTGTCATGTATAAGTCCTTACTTCATATGACTATGAAATTAAAAATATATATTTTCCCCCTGTCTTTGCTTGTGTGGTTGCGGGTCAGACAAGTGCGTTGATCTCCATACGTAGGACAAACCGCTGCTGTGAATGCCGTCATTTTTATCCACTCTAGTTCTTCGCTAATTTTTTTGATTTTGCGCTCCAAATAATGTTTGCTATCACTTTCGCCTGAGTTGCCAATATTTCTGCCGTTCCCCAATTTCAATTTGTTATTTCTGTCTCATATTGCTTCGTTTATCTGTCTCTGTCCAGTCCACCCCCTTTCGTAGACTTCAGTTCGTCCTATTTTTGTTCGTTGGTGCCTCGATTTCTTCTATGGCTGTTATCACTTTGCCTGGTAAATGAACTGTTTCTTTTCTATGATTATTTTTTTAATTTTGCAATCATTCTGGCAAAGAGCCCTATTGCCATTGCTCTAGTTTTATCACTTCACGTATCCAATTTTTCACACTTACTTAGTTCTATTTCTAATTCGAGCATTTGCTGCCTTGTATCTTTTCCTTGTGCTATCGTCATTTATTTCGTCTCTGTTTTTCGCAACGTTATAGTTAGTATCCTCGGAAATAGGCATGTTTGCTGTATCTGTAGTTTCAATTCCCTTGAATGTATTTTTTTTTGCTCACACGACACACCTGGTTCCTATTTGTAGAATTTGGCTCACCCCGAATTAAAATAGCTCTAGTTCTTTACGGGTGGGTTTATTGTATCTCAAGAGATAATGCTTTAGGTCCCTCTTACTAGCGTTTGCTATACTAGATATTATACCTCATTTTTGGTTTCTTTCACTAATCTGTGGTTGCGAAAAGAGAACAGATGGTAAAAAGTTAACCTGCTTTCGGTAACTGCCCTAATTATTATATTCTGTTTATTGATACACCGTTCTCTTTTCCTTCAAGTTTTTGCAGCTTCCTGTTTTCGTCCGATTCTTGAAATTTTTGCGTTATGTATCACTTTTTTTGGCTTTAGAATTATTTTATCAAGTTAATCAATCTAAGGTAAAGTACCCAGTTGTTAGAAAGCAATAAAAACAGCACCACTAGTTGGACAGTCCAATATAATTAACATTTTCGAATAGAAGACGTTTTCAAATAGGAAAAAAAAATTTATTTATAATCCATTAATGCATAATAATACCTGGTAAAAAAATTTATCTCTAAAATTCTTTTTCGTTTTTACGTAAAAAAAAATATGTTTTAAATGAGAAGCATGTAAAATTACTGTCCAAAAATAGATTCCTTTAATAACATAGGAGTGTTCCTATACTCAGTACTTGGACACGGAAAAAATCGCTAAAAATTATAATTTATACTTAGGCGTAGAACGTTTAAGTTATTTTCCAACTAAAATTACCTTATAAAATGTATATTATTATATATTTTATTGAGTTTATAGAGTTAAACACATCGAAAAGTATAAATAACTCTGTCCAAGAATAGCTTCCATTCGATAACATAAGA